GACGAATCTGGTGGGGCATCCGGACGAGCAATGCCGAGGTCAGGCGAAAAGTTTTAGGCCACCGCGGTCGCCCACTGGAGCAAGTGGTCGACTTCCATTGATTACGTTGGTTGGGGTATGTGTTATGCATCTCATCAAGTAGGTTGCCACGGCGAGCGATGCTTGCCGAGGCAGGTAGTGGGTGGAATAAAATCCTGTTTCTCTCGTAATGTTCTTCTCAGTATGCGTCGAAAATACGGCAACCAAAACCGGTGCTTGGTAAATGGTTGTACAAACAGAACTGATGTGGAAGCTGTGAACGTTTGGTTTTATCTGATTGTCGGAATAGCTTTATCATTTTCGTATTCTATCCCTTTTATTGTTCTCTATGCGATGTTGACCGATACATGAATACCCAGATCTTGTTCGAGCCACTTGTCCATATTTTCCTTTTAGTATAGCGGCTTCAATCTGTGTCTTTTTTTTCCACCTTCTGTGACACATTCCAGTTTCCTGATCAGTTGAGCAACTGTTTTCCGCAATGCGGTTCTCCTTCACCGAATTATCTGTACTACATCGATATGGAGCTAACTAACGCTTTGCCGGACTATCAGAATGCCCGAGGCCGTCCGTGTTATCGTCCGGAAAAAGAACCTCTCGGATTCGGTCTTCTTACCACGAAACCATTGCATCATGTGAGTGCTGGATATGTCGCTCGTAATAGACGTAATCAATGGGCTTAGTGCAATGTGATTACTGGTTAATATTTTATGATTGAATTGATCCCAATTACCTCAGTCTGATTGTTCGTTGTTCTTTTCAAACAGGTTCCCACGTTTCCGGTGTACAGTCGATCCGGTGAAGAGACGGTTCGGTTTATCGAGTTCTGGTCACCGTTGGCTTCGGTTGAATCTCAAAAGCAAAACTCTTCTTTGCCCTTGCCGGGCACTCCACTGACCGAAGAGCAATTGGAACAATTGCTCAAGTTTCATCGAATTGTTTTTCAGGTACGTTTGTATCTGGATATGAAATTTGGATTAGTAATGATTTGTAACTGGATGGTGATAATGAATGACGGTGATTGAGTTGCTCACGTCACTGTTATCCGGGATACCAAATCATCTCGGCCTCCCGTGAACCAGTACAGTTCCATTTGATGCTTAGTTTGCCGTCCGGTGTAGTGATATTCCTTTTGGTATCTGGTTCGGACTGTTTTAGGATGTGTACACAGTGACAAGGTCTTATATGTCAGTTGCAGCGGTTAACTGCGGTATCCATCTCTACATTGGTCTCATTCTCAACCCACCATGTGTATCCTCGTTTATTTCGGTGAAATCAGCTTATCGTGGCTAGAAAGAGCCCATTTCCTCAGTCATGAGTGTCACACTCGATTTTTTTTTAGAGAATCTCATATCATTGCTCAGATAGTTGTTTGGCAGAAAATTTCAGTATCCTCGGTAGGATTCGAACCTACGCATGGACGCCCCCTAAGCTTTGTACATGCACGCTCTACCACAGAGGCTACTGAAATTTTAACAATCGCCATATAAACTTCAAATCTGCCAAACAACTATTTGGATAATTCAACTTAGAAGCTCATTCGGTGGACTCCGGTGAAATCTGAGGGAAAGCTGTCGAGGCAGTCAGCTTACCTGGTGGATGCTATATACCTCTGTAAGTTGGATTGGTGATTCGAATGTGAAAAGATCAGTGCTATCGGTGTGTCCTCGTAGCTCGGCTGGTAGCGCGTGCGCGTACAAAGCGTTGGCGGCGTCCATGCTTGAGTTTGAATCCCACCGAGGCTACTGAACTTTTCACAATCGCAATGCAAATCTCATATCATGTTGGGCTCTACGGTATTTGGATTCTGCTCACAGACGCTATTCTCTCATTTTCTATTCTTCTCTAGAATATCAATGATACATCCGTAGAGTTAACGGTTCTTCTCAAAACCTGAACATGATTTTGTCCTTTTCCCCTCTCACTTTCTCAATAGGAGGTGCTTCGTCTGGAGCGGGGTGCAGTAATCGAATTCAATTTCGAGAAGGCGTACACGCAATTGCTTGTGGTCCCGGTGAGAAGAGGTAATCGATCAAATTTGTTTCCGTAAATTGTTGATCTTATTTTCAATGCCCTTCAGTTGGACATTTAGTTGCCATATTTTCACCTCATTTGTTCTATTCTCCACAGTTTTCCGGAAACAGTTCATATTTTACTTCCTGATGTTCAATAGGGAGCCTATTTTCATGGAGGTAGGAGGCAGCGAAATCGGGGTGCTTTCGCAGTATATAAATAAATTGAAACATTGTTATCTTTTTGTATCCAATAAGTGCCTTCAGCTTACACTCCCTCACTGGAAATCAGCTGTCCAGCTGTAAACGTATAGGTCCCCCTCTCATATTTTCGTAAATTTCTAACCTTGTATTCTTCAATGATACTTCAATGATACCTCGGTCTGAACGACCAAATATATGCCGAATTTCAGCAGGAAACTCGATGCTGTATACTATTTAAAGCAGAAAATTAGCAAAAGCGTCTGTGCTGGGGAGGGCGGGTGTTGATCAAAATATCTACGCATCAAAGTTTTGCGAAACCAGACACCCTTGCGCCAAACTGATTTGGTTGGTTTCTCGATTCGATTACTGACAAACCCACTGTAACTGGAATCATGGTAGCGCGTGATGCTCCATAGCCGTCGAATCTCTTCTAGTGATCTCCTTTCACGTTGCTTGAACTTTGCGGAACTCACACAGATGTTTGTCTGCGCAGAATATTTACCAAGGTACAGTCAACTATGTCGGGATGTATCGATGTCCCCAAACAGAATCCTTGTTTCACTCAATTTTGAATAGCAACTGTAGAAGTCAATCTCTACTTTTGGCATTCCTCTTTTCACATTTTTATCATTTATGCAGCACGTTTTATATTATTCTGTAAAATTAACATATTCTTCATCGCAATGGTCGTTCGGAGCAGTCACGTTTTTGTCAGGTTATACGAAACTGAAAATACGTGGATTTCTGAAGGGGGTCCCATAACTTTGTTGCGTACTGCGCATATCCTTGCCAACCGATGACGTTGCAGTGTTTTTATTTCTCACAATCAACGCGTTTCCTTTTCACTCTACTGTTTTGATTTACAATTTTACGATGTCTTTTTCTAAAGCTAATTGAATTTCCATCTTGATTTTGGTTTTTTGGGGGATATCACACGAGTACTTTTCCTCCTGCTCCACTTAGATACTCGCCTCATCGACTGGGAGTTCTTGGGTGTTGTGCTTGGTTCGTGGACTTCAGAGAACGTTTGCCGCTTGCTGCCTCGTCGGGATCTGTCCCGAGCTCCTGATCTACCTCTGTTGCCTGCCAGTTTGACTAGATCAAAGTCGGCTAGTACGACCGGATCTGGCCTCAAATCTAATCGGGGTATTCGGAGTGCTTTGAAGGCGCGTCAGTTATCTAATAGACTCTCCATGGACCCGTTACTCAACCAACCTGGTGTGTTCGATTTCCGCAAATCTGACTTTGTGAACGCCGTGGTCATGCCGGGCTATAGGAATTTGGATCAACCGCAGCATTATTATGTAGCTGAAATTCGGTGAGTGATGTTCGCATGTCAACCAAATCTTATACCGCGTTTCAGACAATCTGAGTCGGTAAAATAGCGCAAGGGGTGGGGCTGCATGTTATTATCTTACAATGAACGCATTTCTCGATGATTGTTTTGTCTTTTATACTTCTTGTGTATTGATTAGGGAGGAGATCTTAAGCATATACAGCTCCAACACTCATACCGTCATTTTCGATTGTATGCAATATTCATATATCCCCTAAAGGTTCTAACCTAGGCTCTCATTCCTGGCGGGATAATCAGGGTGGGCCAACCAGATCAGACCCGACCAGTGTCACATGATCTCTTTCTAACTGTCTTATCCGGTCGGCTATAAACTCGAAGTCTGACTTATCCCGCACTTGGCGCAAAACCGCTGCTGCAGCGGCGGCGTAATTAAATTATCTATTCGTTTTCCATTTCAGCTACGATTTGAATCCGCTCTCCCCATTCCCTACATCATCCTACGCCAATTTTGCGGCCTATTACACCGCGAAGTATGATGCCACAATCAGCACGGTCAATCAACCTCTACTCGATGTGGACTTCACAGTGATGCGTCTCAGTCTGATTGTACCTCGTTATGTAAACATTCGGGGTCACTATCTGCCCTGTTCAAGCGAGGCCCGAAAACGCGATCGTCGTGAGAATTTGACGCACAAACAGATTCTGATCCCGGAGCTGTGCTTCCGTCATCCGTTTCCTGCTTCCGGTACGTGTTGTGTGCTGTGTCGTCAGCACCGATCTTGTCGACCTTCCAATTCTTCGCTCCTCAAGGGCTAATACCATTCATTGTAATAATGCTAATAGTAATATTGTATTATCCACTTAACTCTATATGCCAAATTTCCAATTTTGTCACTGTACCATATCCCGTTTTCATTTTTTCCCGTTTACGCAACCATTAACCATGCACTTTCATGCGGCTGTTTCGGCTGCTGTCTTTCAGCTGCTGATTTGGATGAAGTAAGAGAGGAAAGATTTGGATGCTGAGAGCAGTTTAAAAGGGAAGATAGTGCATTCAAGTAAACATTGGTGTGAAGACATTGAGTAGGTGCACGAGCATCGCTGTTTGTGACTATATCACTACTTGTCTCTGACCGCCGATCCCGTGGTTCCCAACCGCGAAGCCTAGCATGACCTAAACCTTTTGAGATACTTTATTTCCTGAATGAACCCCATCTCCGAAGTAGGGCTGATACTAACTGAGATTAATTGCTCAGTTCGAGCAAGAGTTCGGGAGAATATTGCTGATGAGACCTTCTGAGTTTTACCTAAAATTATGCTATCCATAGCTCAAGTTTGCTTTGTTTAATGTGAATGGGTGTTCCGTGGAACTTCTTAGTTACCTCACCTAGGACTTCTTACCATAGACGCATATCCCTGATAAGACGAATCCAATTACGATTGTTACGTATAATCGCGGTCTTCCTCATCTCTTTACTGCTTCGGACCTACCACTAGCGGTCATTTTTAGTACTCTTGATAAACTGGTGGATTTGCACTTGGAGCGACCTGAGGAATTGCTGTGCGAGCGTCCAGCTGAGGTCGAGGAGATCCATTATATGCACTTAGATCATGTGTCAGAATCCATCGTTTTGACCAACATTTGGTTGGCGTTCAGTGTTCATCGAGTCCTTCTGTGGGTGTGGGTGTTGTTGAGTTCTCCCAGCTGAAAGTGTTGTTAGCAGATGTTTCGTATCAAGCTAAGCAACATGATCAGTGCGACTTCGAGGTGGGTGGTTGAACTGACAGGCGAAGAGAAAACTCTTCTTCAAAGACCGATTTACAGCTGTTGTCTACATTGTATTGTGAGGATCCATTTTCGGTGGCTTTGTTTCTTTTTTGTATCGGTCTTGGGAATAATCTGGCTAGCAACAGAGGATGGTTCTTATCCGCTAGTGTTGCTCAATGAGAGCGGCAGTCTTGGATGGATCCACTGAATTTGCCGGAGACTGCTGCGATGTCCGTTAAGCGAACACTCTGTAGCAGTCGAGAAAGGTCCCNTGTGGAATTTTCCCTTCATTTGTTTGTTATACCTAACGATACACTAGAAAAAGACATTGATCCGGGTTAACAGTATACTCGATCTATCATATAGAACCAGATCACTGCATGCAGAGCGTTTGCTCTCTGATCTACTAGATAGCACCGTTGTATTTTATCTCTGAGGTCCCGGGTTCGAATTCATCTGAGAAGCCCGGTAATGACACTCAACAACGTTGTAGCAGGTGTGCTTTCCTGTGCTTCGACTTCCCATCTTTTAAAACCTATTCAGCCGTAAATACGATGAAACAGCCAATGCTGTTGTTGTCTTAAATTTCGTCAGGTTGTTTTTTCACGATCTTATCAATCATCATTCTGACCCGATTTCCTTTTTCATCCTCTTGGCAGTCTGGCGCAAAGCTGTCTGTTTACCAAGCGTTCTATATCGTCTGCATTGTTTGCTTCTGGCTGAGGAACTACGTCGTCTGATCGCTTTTGAGACCAATCTGGGTCGAGCCCGACTTCCCTCCACTGTCGATCAGAACCGGCGAGTTTGGTCCAGTGATGAGACCGGCGAATTGTTTGAACCGTTACGCATGATATTCCCACTCGAGGTGCAGCGTGCGGTTCAGGAAGATGTCACATGCGATTCAGGTCCTTCTGGACCTAAAGGGCGTAGGCGTCGCCGTCGAGGCGGTCAGCCCAGTGCCTCGACGAAGGATGTGGTAAAAAGGAGGGACCAATCAGCCACTTCTAAACGCTCGGTTAATCAGTCTAACTTTAAAAACAGCCCAAGTCCTGATGCGTCGCCAGGGGATACATTGACAACATCCGGTGACCGTCAACAGTCGAACGGAGATGGTGACCGAAAGTATATCGGCAAAAGGAACGTCTGGGCGGAAGCTTCTAATGACAATAAGACGAACACAACCGGCGCTGATGAATCCGAGGAAGGTTTGGAGGAGGAAGTGGAAAATGACTCGGACGATGCTAAGACCCCGGATGAAGTTAGTGATGACGAGCCACAGATAGTTAAACTGCGAGCGACTTCCGGTGCGGTTCCATCTACCCATCATGACAGCGTCAGTGGGGCGGGTTTGGTAGCAAGCAATCTGGACGCGATGCTGGAAGAGACCAAAGTGATTGAATGGGAAGATCAGGCGTTGGGTAAGATCATGCGGATTTGTTACGGGGGCATTTGTTACCTGTCCGCTCAAATGTGTCTCCAAATGCATTCAACCAAACACGTTCTAACAACTAACTCTTCTAGTAATTTATGCTCATATTCTTGTTGACTTTGTTCAAAAACTGCAGCAGCAGTTGTCTGAATTTTGGTTGATACCTTATTGTGCGATATCATTATATTATTCAATTTCTGATCGTGATTATGAGCCACACGTAAACACAGAGCTCAGATTCGATCTGACCTTAGTACAAGAGTTAAATTTTCAGTAGAATAAAACTTCATTTACGGCTTTCGTGTGTACTTCCCAAGTGTATGGNGAAATTCGAAAGGTGATCGGTCTAAATGCGCATCACAGTTCTTCATTTTTATTACTGAGTCACCGGTTACCTAGCAGTTGGAAAAATTATTAAAATTAATCCGAATTTCAGATACTTAACACCAATTTGTTTACTTATTCATAAAACAATTGCGACTTTTTACTATGGAATAGTACTATCCCCCTGCGCAGACTACGCAATGATATTCTTGTTCATGTATTTATCATCATCATTATTCTTTCTTTTCCAGTCGCGTCACTTAATCCAGATTCAGATCAGCTTATGTGAGTTTGTTATTCCTTCGCGCTTGGTTTTATGATTAGATCCATTTTTGCCGTCCAATAACTTTTATTTCCATTGATGTTATCCTCTTTTTAGGATCATTGAGAACCGTCAATGCGTTGATCGGGAGTATCTCGAAACCGGTTCCGATGTTGAAAGCGTAGACAGTTTCGAGGCCACTGTACGATTCTTTCCCTCCGATGACGATTGCGAAACAGACGACCAAGCTCTTTTTGATAGTTCTGATACAGTGAGTGCTTGAAATGTTTGATGTTCCTGTATATCAGGTTATCCGTTTATCTCGTAGGACTTTGCTCTCAACCCCAGTAAGGATTTTTTGATGACGTAACAGTTGCAAACTTATCGTCCATTGCTTTCTTAAGCCACAGAGAGGCAGTTACGTCACCGAATGACCGAACACATTCCGGTGTGGCTTAATAAAGCAATGGACGACAAGTTTACGTCTTCAACTGATCAATAACGCAACACTTATTCGAACAAAAACACCGTGTCACTCCACCCCACGCATTCCAGGTCATCTACAACACAACAAAGTTACTGACATTTGCCGAGGCCCTAGCCATTCATACTCTCAAACCCGATCTATGCAAACAGCATGAATGGTTAGTCACATTAGCTTTGCCCTGGTGATTGACCCCCTATCCTCTGTCGTCCCCCTTTTTGTCTTGTTATCCGCTGTGATTGGCCAGCTTGTCTTCATCTCACATCTATTGTCTCACTGACTATGAAAATTCAATTTGACTGCAGTGTTCACGTGCACGTGTACAGATGCAGCGAAATGACCATGGATACATTGTGCAAACCCATGTTTCTGACCTCTGTTCAATTTGTGACGGGAAAACAGTGTTTTCAGTTTCTCACAGATTTTTTTAATCATTTTAGTCACATTTTTGGACTTGTACTACTAGCTTTTTGAAAGTAGTTAACGTATGATTATGATATTTTGTAGGTTTATCAAGGTCTATTTCGTTGACCGTTGTAGTTGAACGTGTTCATACGCTTTCATGCATTCGGAATTCTAGCACCATGGTGCAATCGATAGTAGTAGAGTAGAAATGACCGGAGAAAATTATCATGAACATTCGACTGGTTCAGTCGTTGTTTGTTTGTACTCCCATTAACCGTGCACCCGTTTTGGTTGCTGTCTTTCGTTTGCCAATTTGGTTGAAGCAGTAGGAGAAAGATCGGAAAGTTGAAGTAGAGTCTAAGAGCAAATGTAGAATTGCAGTAGACTAAGATTGCCGAGAGATTGAGTAGGTGCACGAACGTCACTATTTGCGGCACTCAGCCATATCCTTCGAGCAAAAAAATACAGTGAGGGCAGTTCACCTGTCCAGAAAACCCTATTAGATGTACCTAGAAGCGGGTACCTAGGGCTTCCTCTCGACGGTGGTAGAAGTCTTCGCACTTAATTTGACAGAATGCACCCGCCCAAGCTGGGCTGGCCCCAGTGAATAAAGCGCTTTATCGTCCACATTCCACCTGCCTCATTGGGTGCATGAGACTATGGGCCAATCCCAACAATGGACCGGCAATGAACGTACCAGCGAACAATACACTGAACCGACACTCAAAGGCGTTGTATAACAGGTCTGTAGAATTTCTCACACGAGTGATTCGGCCTCCTGTGGGACTTAAGAATCGAAGGTTCCGGTTCTCAAAGAAAAACCTCTTCGTCAATGTGGATTACCGCGAAGTATGCCGGGCCCTGAATTCTGATTTACTCCTTTTCAACAACATCTTTCCGATGTGTTTAGTTCTTGCCAATCCCGAGTAATCCCTGATGCCTCTTATTTACGCCATCCATCTCTCAGCGTTTTACCAGTAAGGCCAAACACCCAGAAGTTACAGGGTTTTTGAAGCTAAAATGTCCTTTTCACTTAAGCGCCTTCAACGTTCGCACACTACCAGATCGATCCAGGCATTGCTATACTAATCTTTAGAAATTCGTCGAAAATCGGCCCTAGGATCACGTTTTGCTGATATCAGACGCATCTGATCCACACAAAACTATTATAGAACCGTCATAATGATTACTCAAGCCGGTGGTATATATATATATATATATATATATATATACTCGGACCTGTTTAGTCTCTACTAAATCGTTGAGTTGCAGATAACTCCCTCAGTGCCCAACAGTTTACACAACAGAAGCTGTACAGTGATGATGAATGAAAAAAAATTTAGCATTACCGAAACTAAATTTCTTCGTCTCTTAGTAAATGCGGCTCAGACAATGCTTCCTGAAACATCGCACACCTGAAATGATTCGTTGTGCAGAGTAGATTCATCTAACGATACACTTTCTCAGAAAGGCTTGTCCGACCGGACCTAATAAAGTGTAAACAGTTTTGGTCTCGGTGACGTGGAGTTTACTTTACTTTTGATTTGGTTCTGGCAATCTGTGTGGTTGCAATGTGTTTTTATCGATGTGTGACCGTGTTGAATAGGATCACTTAGCCGAACCTCGCCCTTAAGGATTTCCTTGTGGTGCACTGTGGCTGCATACCAGGGATTCCTACATCGTACCATTCATATTGTTAATACTGTCGTTCGAAAAATGAATGATTGATATGATTGATGTGTGAGGTGATCACAGTAGCCGTTGAATAGAGAGAAGACGAAGGCCCAGTATCTCGGCTTTATCCAATATGCAAATGGATGACGTGCTGAGAAGAATGAGGGGAAAATTAAGAGGAACGAGTGATGAATAATGCAGATACAACAAACGGGAGTTTCACATACCATCTACTCCTGTAGATTGTTTTTATCGAAAATGTGTTGAGCTTCCCAATTTATCAAATTATAGGTTTTAGTGCATTGTTGTGTTTTTACCAACGGATGCATCTCGGGTTCTGCATTGTGTGGATCTGCGTTTTTAGTTACGGGTGAAAAATGTTCGTGGTGTTTGGCTCATCAGAATTGTTACTCTTTGTAGGGTTGGAGGCTGATAAACGCACTCGGGGATTGAAGATCTCTTGGTCTCTGGATATATATAGCCGTTGGTGACTCAGGCTTGACTTTTGGGAGCCAGGTTAATTATAGATACAGTGTCTTATTACCTGTTTGGAAAACGGACATGGGCGTACTTGAGGTTACATTCGACTAATTGAACTTCGTCAACCAGGGGCTCGGATTTTGTTAATCCTATAGGATGACACATCAAGCCAGGTCCAGGATTACTCAACCAAGTTTGTATGGAGACTCATGATGCAGATTTCTGATAATAAGCAATCAATTTCTCGTGATGAGTTGCTTTAGTGGCTGTACATAGGGTGATCGAATAGAGTGGGTGGCTTTCGAGAGAACAGTGTCGAATAAATTCTGCCTCAAATTGACGCTCTTTACATGTACACACTTCGCACCACTGTCCTATTGTCCATCTTTCTACTTTGCCCGTGTGTTGTTAATTTCATCCTCCCATGCCGTTTACACATACGCACGCACCATTAATAGACATGATCCACTTCGTTGCCCTCTATGTTGGTTTCATCTGACTCATCGATCCGAACCCATGACTGGCCCTGACACCTGTGTATATATGTTTAGATACACACACACATCGCGGCGGGCCCTGATGACTAACATTCACACCCACACACCGTATTCCGATTGGTTCCCTCTAGGTCACTTCCCAGCGTTGACTACCACAGATGCATGTGATCTTGTTTGACACTGTTTAGTGTATTCGTTAAGCCGGATAGTTCCACTGTTTGAGGTTTACATGTTTTACACCGTTTGTAATCCGTATTTCAGTGCGGTTTTTGTAGAAGAAACCAATTTGTTGAAAGACACCGTCTTCTGGTTTGTTTTGCGTGTCGCCCTACTTGGATCGTTGTAGCCTGTGAAGTCGACACAGATTCTCACTAAGTACAAGACCTCTCGACTGCCTGCAAGAGGGTCCCGTTTAGTCTCAGCCTGAGCGAGGATTGTCGGCTGTTCTGGTAGAGATAATGCCGTTAGCTCCTCGGACATGAAGGATGAACCCCTATCGGAATAAATGTAAGAAGGCATACCGAGAATAAGTTAGTAAGACACCGGATGATTGTAGCAGCTGACAGGTCAGAGCGGGGGTGGGCAAAAGGGGATCGAGAGTGCTCATCCACGACCGTTAACAAGTGGCGGTTCCGAAAGTCAGACGGAAGCGGTCACTTGAAGTCGATGTTTTGCCTCTCGAATGACNACACGGTAGCTTTCATCAGATTTCCGGGAGGAAATTTACTGAACCGTGGTTTCCATCTAGCGTAGATTGAACAACCACTAGTGACGGATTTCACTTCGTTGACAAAGTAGGAGAGACTTTTGGCCCTAACAAAATGAAACATTCGGACGACTCCCGGATGATGCAGCGATTGTTTTGAGTGATGCAGCTACAACAGAAGCTACGAGACTGCCTCAACCGCCACATTTTCATGTTCAGGGCGAAGCTGTGGCGTGATAGTTCGATAAGATTTAAGATCTTATCATTTTTAATTTTACCCAGATGTCTCGAATCGAATTTAAAGGTAACCGGTTTTTGATCTTTAGCAAATAGTGTTTCCACTTCCGGATAGCTTCGACGATGGTATTAGCCTCACTGTCTACCGAGGAATGATGTCTTTCGCTTGGAGATAACGTTCGAGAGAAGAAAACAACACGTCTACTGTTCTACAAGTGGTTAGTCGAAATAGCTACGTCTAAGTGTCTGTTTTCACGACTAGTGGTGTCTTCGGGTCGATAGTGGTGATGACTGCATATTCCATTTCGTTCTGAGCTTTCCAATGCATTTATTATTTAATTCACATTTTCGCACGCCTCATGTCCCACTTTCCTCTTTTTTGCCATTATTGTAACAGTGATCTCGTTTTGGCTGAGACAATACAATACAATACACTCTGACTTCCTCTAATATGTGAGATATGTGATTGTGTTCTACGGTTGCCACGCTGCGCGATGTTTGGTGAGTCAGGCACAGGATGGAACAGGGTCAAGGACGGTTACATTAAGACCTGGCATGAAGGTATGAAAACCGTAACCAGGACACTGGGTCACATGGGTCCTGTTAGGCTCCCTGGATGGGAACCCCGAGATCGGGGGTTAGAGACACTGAGTAATATGGCTGAGTGTCACAAACAGTGGTCCCTGTGCATCTACTCATTATTCTTGCAACCCCAGTCTATATGAGTTCTCTCTCTTCTCCTTGTCTCTGCTTTCACCATTCCAGTCTTCACTTCGTTACCTTATCCAAATGAGCAGCCAAAAAACAGCAACCAACCGGGAGTAATATAAGTTTAAACCGACTGCCCATCGTTGCGATTCGAGTTCTTTGACTGAGGTCTTATCCGGCCTTGTCAAACTTCGTAACACGAGTTTCCCTTCTTTGGTACCGATGATACTTTTCCTGTAAAAATGTCTTTTTACTTCCTTGTAATTTATTGAATATGCAACTGTGCAGTTAACATTCAGGAGGGAGGCCGCGGCCATATAATGGCTGCCTGAGAAAACACAGAAATAGGGAAGACGGGCGGCGGTGAGCGGTTCGAACCCGAGACTATCAGGTCACCGCCACCGCCTTCGTCTAGTGTAAGTACATACTTCCTAACAATGTTGAAAAACTTGGATTTTTTCGTGATCCTCTTTGTTTAATCCGCACGCACTGGCATCATTGATGTAGGCAAATTCGCCCGACAGGTTTTCCTCCCGAATGAGTTTATCAGTTGCCCCTTGAAAAAGAAGTGACACCGTTCGTTACTTCAAAAGGTATTCGACAAGCTGGTTCAACTTGCCGCAGGCTTCAAAGGCCGGAAACGGTCGATCTTCCTTTAGCAACTTGGGGTCTTGCACTTCGTAGATCTAAGGCACTGAAGACAGCGTGTCGGGATATTTTAGACACCATTTCATCTATTCGTGGTAGTGGGTATGCGTCTAACAGAGTGTAGCAAATAATAGTCTGAATAAAAGAAGTAACACAATGTGAGCAGAATTGATATTGGCCATCAATTTTGCGTGCTCTCAATCAGCTGTCTACGCACATGAAGTAGGTCGAATGTTACAGAAGGAATAAAATACAAGGACATTCACATGATTACGTGGGTTCCAGTAATCATATGAATGCCCATATATGGAATTCTTCCTGTAACGTTCGACCTATTTCATGTGCGTAAGCAGCTGATTGAGAGCACGCAACATTGATGGCCAATATCAATTCTGTTCATATTGTGTTACTTCTTTTATTCAAATGAATAATAGTTTAACTGTAGTTGACTAGGCAGTGGTCTTTCATATGGCTAATCATTCTCGTGGATGCCAGATAATTGCGTAACTTTCAGATGGTGCAACTTTCTGAGCTTCCGGTGTCTATTGGAGCTCCCACTGGGGTGTTGATTTTGATCAGTGCGTTGGACAGACAAACCGGAGCGGAAACAGAGAAAGTGCAAGTATTGGAGCCTAGGATGACCGTTTCTTAGGAAATAATCTGCAGACCCGTTCGAGATGTCCTTTCTTCCCACGGAGAATTCAATTGCTTCCGTCTTCCTCAGCCAGTCCCATTTGGTTTATTCATGCGCATATTTTATACCCGGTATATTTTTTTTCTACCAACCTGACAGACGCTCATCTTTCTTTCTGGCAGCAGGACACACGAAAATGTACGTGGACCGAAATTCGTCTCCAAACCATCGTTTAGATAACGAGGTTGGTTGTACAGTTTGCCCACTACACGTCTGCGTTTGGTCTATTTTCATTTTGCTTGTATTCATTTATTTCGAACTATATTGAATCAGATTACATATTGCCACCTTGCACTTCCCTAACCGCGTTAGCCTTGCGAAGACAACTCAGAAACTGGCAATGGGATCGTCTCACATCCTCGTTCGCGACTTCGAGCTTATCGGCCAGGACCCGCAAATGTGCTTCAGGCATTGACCATGTCTTGTTCAAATGATTTTATCAATCTGGAACGAATGGAGACCATCGGAGATAGCTTTCTGAAATTCGTTGTCACGGTGCACTTGTACCTTTCGTACCCGACCTCTCATGAGGGGAAACTGAGCCACATGCGAAGTCGAATTGTAAGTGTGATAGTAACATGAAAGGCTATGCTTATATGATAGGAACGCTCACTTTACGTTTAATTCCCACACTTTACGCACACAGCGTTCGTGGGCAATTTTTCTTATTTTTATTTCTCTTTGTCCCGCCGCCCTTGAACGGGATTGATGCTGGTCCGCTACTTTGCGGATCTGACTTTGGCCATTCATTGGCCCTAGGTGTCTGGTCCTCGAGCACACTCGCCCGGTAAGATTCAAAACAAACTAGCAGCAATGCCTAAATTCAGACCAGTGTTGAAAAAAAAAAAAACAGATCACACTCGCACACCACCTGCGAGTTTTCGATTGCTTTGTGATTCAACACTCATCATCATCATCATCGTACAGCGAGATACAGTGAAGCGAGCTTCACTGATCGTTGCCA